TTGCACCATCTTCGTTGGTAGCCTTGGCTGCTTTCCCAAAACGATCTCAAATGGACTTTTCTCCGTGGCTGAAGACTTGTGCAAATTGTAAGACATCTGCGCACAATCTAACAAATCAGTCCAATTCCATTGACTCGCAGTCACAAAATGTCTCAAATACTCTTCTAGCAGTTGATTAATTCTTTCGGTTTGGCCATCAGTTTGGGGATGGTTCGCTGTTGAGAACTTCAAATTTGTACCCAGCAAATTGAACAAGTAAGTCCCGAATCTGCCTGTGAACCGTGCATCCCGATCACTAATAACATCCTCTGGCATACCGAAATACTTCACCACATTTTTGAAGAATAACTCCGCAGCAACTTTAGAGGGACATTCTGTTGGAGCAGCAATAAAAATAGCGTATTTTGAAAACCTGTCGACCGCTACCATAATCGAAGACAACCCATTTACTTTTGGGAATCCGCTGATAAAATCCATTGAAACGGATTGCCATGTTTCTTCAGGAATTGGCAAAGGTTGCAACAAACCTGCTTCTTTCTTCCATTCGGTTTTATCAAGCTGACACACAAGACAGCTTTTCACATAAGCTTCCATATCTTGTTCCATCTTTGGCCAGAAATAATATCGCGACAACAGTGCCATCATCCTCTCAATGCCCGGATGACCAGCCCAAAGTGTATCATGTGTCTCCTTCAATAATTCACGACGCAATCCTTCACCAAGTGGTACGACGATTCTCCCCCCTTTGAAATGGAGAAGATCGTCCTCGATCCAGTACCTCCTCATAGTACCTTCTTTCACATAATTCATTGTTTTTATGTACAATGGATCATTCACAGCAGCTGACTTGATCTTATCAAGAAAATCTGACTCAAGTCGTGTAATGGAATAAACAGCAGCAAAGACTTCCTTGTGACTCAATGCATCCGCGACCTGGTTGTGCTTTCCCGGCTTATGCTCCCACACAAAATCATATTCTGCTAAAAGTTCATGCCAACGTGCTTGCTTTGGACTCAACTTTTTCAGTGTCTTGAAGAAAGTATTAGCCACATTGTCCGTCCTCACGACGAATTTTGTTCCTAGCAAGTAAACATGCCAGATTTGTAAGCAATGAATAACAACAACCATCTCCTTTTCATGAGCCGAATATCTCTGCTCCGCTTCATTCAACTTCCTGCTTTCAAAGGCCACAGGATTACCTTCTTGAACCAGCACGCCTCCAACAGCCTTGTCGGATGCAAGGGCAACTCAAAATCAGCAAGCCGCAAGATAGGTTCCGAGGCAATGGCTTCTTTCAACACATCAAATACAGTATTGCATTTTTCTGACCAATCCCACCTAATGTTCTTCTTTAACAAATCCGTCAAAGGGGCAGCTTTCTTTGAGTAACCAGTAATGAATTTCCTATAATAGTTAGCCAACCCGAGGAAAGATCTCAATTCTTTCACAGAATTAGGCGCCTGCCATTCCACAATAACCTGCACCTTGTTCGGGTCCATCCGCACTCAATTTTGGCTCACCAAGTGCCCAAGAAATTTGATCTCCTGTTTAGCAAATTCACACTTTTCCATTTTCACATACAGCTTGTACTCCCTCAAACGAGACAACACTTTTATCAAGTGTGACATGTGTTCATCTAGGGTCCGACTATAGATAACAATGTCGTCTAAGTAGACAATGACAAAGTCATCTAAGTACTCATACAATACATCGTTCATCAGGTTGCAAAAAGGTAGCAGGGGCATTTGTCAACCCGAACGACATAACAAGGAATTCATATGAGCCATACCTCGTAACACAAGTAGTTTTAGACTCATCACCTTCAGCTATCCGTACTTGCCAATAACCAGACCGTAAATCAAGCTTCGTGAACCAGCAAGCCTTGCTCAATCTATCCATCAAGTCCTGCACCAACGGAACCGGATATTTGTTCTTCACAGTCACCTTGTTCAACGCCCGATAATCAACACACATCCGAAGCATCCCATCCTGTTTCTTTTGAAATAAAACAGGTGCACCAAATGGAGCTTTTGATGGCTGAATCAGTCCCGCATCAAGCAACTCGTTCAATTGTTTCTGCAATTCAGCCAACTCTTTTGGCGCCATACGATAAGGAGGTTGAGCAGGAGGCATCGAACCCGACATCAACTCTATCTTGTGATCAATAGCCCTCCGTGGTGGCAGATTTTTAGGCAACTCCGGTGGCATCACATCAGCAAAGTCACTCAAAATTTGAGCAACGCAGTCCGGCACTTCAACCTTTACATCAGGCTTCACTTCAATCATAGCAGCAAGGAAAGTCTCGTCTCCCCTTTTCAACCCTCTCTCGACCATCATGGCAGAAATTAGTGAAGTCTTCCATTGAGTTTCTTCTTTCCCATAAGGATGAACAACCTTCACAAAACCAGGAGCTGTTTCATGCATTATCATCACTCCATCCAAATGAGGCATTGGAACAAAGCGATGTTTCCGCACAAAATCGATTCCAAGGATCACCTCAAAGTCTTCCAATGGAATCACCATCAAATTAACTTTCCCTTTCCAGTTCCCAACAGACATAGGAACATCATAAGCCATACCTACAATGGCTTGTGCTTTGGCATTCACCGTCTTCATGTAGGAGGGATATTTACTCACACTCAATCCGCACCTATGCACCAAATTGGCTGAAACAAAGCTGTGAGTAGCGCCAGTATCTACCATAGCTATCACACTTTTGTCCCCAATTCTCATTTCAATATGCATCAGCAAGGAATGAGGGTTAGTCTCGTTGCTTGTGGCATTAACCAACGAGATAACATTCACCAATTGCAAAGGATTCACTAAGGCAGCAACAACTTCCTGACCCTCTCCATCCCGCTTATTTTCTGTGGCAAGCAAAGCATTAACCCGCTCCCGATTCGGACAATTCTTGGCAAGGTGAGGTCCGCCGCACGTCCAGCAACCATCGCTCTTTTTGTTTGCGATGCCTTTGTTTCTAGCATTTCCATCAGCAACAGCCTTGCCCTTTTCCACAACTTCTTTTCGAATTTCTTTCCTCCATTCCCCTTTCTTCTCCATCCTTTTCTTAGGTTTTGAAGTAGAGGGAATTTCTGAAAGACTACGGGTACTGCGATAATCCACCAAAGAATCCGCTGCAGCAATCGCACTTGGGAGATCTTTCACGTTCTGTCTCCTAAGTTCGTTCTGCGCCCATGCTTGCATTCCAGAAATAAAGTTATGCAATTTATCATCCTCCGACATGTTCTGAATATCCAGCATTAAGGAAGTAAATTCCTTAATATAATCACGAATAGATCCAGTTTGTCTTAGACGTTTCAAGCGATCCCTAGCAAGCCAAGATGCATTGCTAGGCAAGAATTGGTCCTTCATTTCCTTCCGAAGTTTTACCTACGTATCTATCTTGGGTCTGCCCGCACTTTCATCATCAGCCATGCGAGTTCTCCACCACAATTTAGCATCTCCCGTTAGGTACATGCTTGTAATTGTGACTTTCTCTCCGTCCGGAACTTTGGCAGCAGCAAAGTACTGCTCCATATCCCACAGAAAATTTTCCAATTCTTTAGCACTACGCGCTCCACCAAACGCCTTAGGATCAGGGATCTTCACTTTCGAACGTTCTTCACAGCCTTGGCTTGGAGCAGCCAATGCCCTTCGAAGAACAACAATTTCAGTGTTCAAAGTTTCGATCTCTTTCTTCAGATCTTCAACTTGAACATCCGTAGCCTCACAGGTTTGTTGGATTCCATCACGAAACCGATCCATGCCACGGTAAATCTCAGTAATTAGATCTGCCAGGTCTAAAGGATCATCCGTCACACCGATCAGCGCCTCCAACCTTTGCACCCGATCACGTAAGTCTGAGTTAGACCCACCAGCCATGGCCACAAATCACGACCAAAGCTCTGATACCAGTTGTTACAGGGCCAATTTTTCGCAATATTGACACTGCACGGCAGTAACAAACACACAGTCACTCAGCCTCACTTTTCGCACACACAGCCTGACACTTAGAATTATTCAGACTTTAGCCAAACTTAACAACACACAGAATTACGGGTAAAACACCCAACCTTTATTATTCTCGCAGAATTACAAAAGGACTCACGTTTGGAATGGCTCACAATATGCTATTTGCCAATGCCAAACGAAATACACATATAAAAAGGGGCCTGCCTATGGCGGTTTTACAAAGGGGCAGTTGGGGCAGTTAAGACAATGTGCCATGCACATGACATTACTAAAAACAAGCTAACCAATCTGTTTGAATTCAAATTCAAATTCTTCCCACGAAATTGGCCTTGTCCTAAGCAATAGAGTGAACTGCACATGTGCTTTGCACATGTCTTCAACTTCCAAAGCACATGCCTTGCACACCACTTCCGTCACATTCCTTGCACACTTGTCTTCCAGCTTTTTCCCCACACTTAGTCTTCTGCCTTGCCTTGTTTTGGACCATGCCTCGCCCATAGTTCATAGCCACGCCTTGCCACAAACTTAGTCGTCCCACTGATCCGCGCATGCCTTTGTCAAGTGCCATGCCTTCGTTGCCATTGCCGATGCCCACGAACCAAGGTTGCCTTGCCAACACTCAAGGCACCTTGCCTAGCTGACTTACCTAAGTCCATCACCAACTTAAACACACACCCAGCTTTGCACATTGCTTGTCAACACTTCCACAAACCCATGTCAAGGGGCAATGTACAAGCCTTTGACACGAATTCTGCCCGACCTTCGTCAAGTCTCATTGTTAGGGCCTAACAGTAGGCTATCTATATCAACATTAGGCGTAATTTATTACCAATGTGAATATTTGACAGGATAGGTTTTCACGCTTTAATACTGAATCTTGCTCAATTTCCTACCCCTTTATTTTCTTTTTCTCCCCTTCATTATGTAATTCCTGTCTGCTCCTTGATAAAAGATGAATTATTTTATGGTTTTGCAAAGATAAGAATATGTTCAACACAAGAGGATAAGGCGCAAATGAAAAACAAGGATTCAAAATACAGAAAACTCATTAATTTGCACAAATGAACTGAACAAGTTAGTTTCATCACTTTTGCAAGTACTTCCCATCATGAAGCACGTCCTATACATGCACACATCAGAGGAAAAGATCATAAAAATGACTGCATTTTGTGTATAAATCTACATTATTGAAAGAGATTACTACAAAGACCAATAAATACAGATCGTGATACCCTCAAAAAACAATCATACAAAGTTGGAAGGACCATTGCGGTGGCTTCTAACCAATCCCAGCATATACGAATACCACAAAGCAAAACATGAAGACCCTGCATCTCAATGAGCACTAACAAGGAACGGATGCTGGCAGACACTGCACTCTATCGTTTCTGATCCAGAAGCTGGGACTTCAACCTGCAATTTAACTGCATTAGATACTCTCCTAGCAGAGGTTGCTGGTTAATATTATAAAAAGCTTTGGCAATAGGAACAAAGGCAAAACAGTATTTGCATTTCATGTTTTACCACACTTCATGAAATAGGGAAGTGCAAATTTCACCCCTTCAACAACTTTTTCAGCTTTTAGAAGTTCTAGAAGGTTTGGCCTCACGTTTATCCAGTGTTAGGTCCGAAGACACATTCCATCATTTCAAAGTTATAAAATCAACAAATTTCTTCTTTTTTTTATAAGATTATAAAATTTACAATTCTACAAAAATCTCAGCAGTACTCCTTTCTTTGTTCCTTTCTCCCCTCCATTAGGCTAATTGTTCAAACTAGTAATATTTATATGTTTGAGTAGATTCTTTAATTTCTTAGGGGTCTAGCCAGAACAGGACAACATGAAACCACCTTGTGAAGTATTTAGAATAACAAAGAATGATTGAGATGGGAACATTGGGAATTTCGTCTAAATAGAATGGAGCTATAAAGTTATGTAGAGTGGAAATCAATCCTTTAGGTTCAACTATAATACAAATAGGAAAAGAGTTCTCGCATATAATGTTAAACCTGCAAATGGACAGTGCAAGTAGGACATGCAACCTCTCTCATCCTTCTGGATCCCTGTGATGTATGACCTGAAAATAATAGATATGTTTGGTTCAGGGAAAGAAAAATCACCAATAGAGCCGCCATAGAAACTTTGCAAGCCAATTCCAGATAGCATTGGTAATGCAACTATGTTATTTGAATTGAAAAAGAAATGGTCTCGGCGGTGGCTAATACCTGTTGATGTCTTCCGCTTTTTGTCCATCTCCTCCTGTCATAAAAGTCAATCAGAGATATTAGCACTAAATGCTTAAGATGCAACCACAAAAGATTACATTAAAAAATAAAACCGTCAGCCAAAGATGCAACTGCAACCAGATACTTGGTAAAACACACAAACTCATGATTTTCTGCTTGCTTATATCATATACCCTATTTTTCTAATTAAATAGGATATATGATATATGGTTATCCTTCTATAACAGAAACTGCTGATGTACTATGAATTGTCAAACTACGCTTTCGATAATCTATCTCAAAAACACATTTTTCTCAGCAAAAATAAATAATGATGGAACCTTGAAGTACATATTTACCTGGAGTCTTTTTGCAAGGTCTACATGACTTGGCAATGCAGACACTCTAACCGCTGCTTTAGCATTGCTGAGCCTCTGAGTTACCTCAGCCTGCAAAATGAGAAGCAACATTAAGAATACTACTGGAACATTATCGAGCTCAATACATCTTTTGAGAATACCACTTAAAGGCTCTTATGGCCAACAAAAAACAAATAAATGCAAACATACAGAGGATCAACATGTTGAACATTGATAATAACTATAAACAAATGTAAACATAGAAAAGCATTATCACCAAAGAGTGGCAAAGCTTCGGATAATACATACAGTAAACATCAGACATTAAGATGGCAAAATTCATAAAAACGAAAGTTTAACGCCTCATATTTTTAACATTTCCTTAGTTTTAAGCCGGCTGACGGAAGTAGAACAATAAAACGGGTATCGTCAATTTTCCCTACAAATAACATGTGACCATATTTAGCCAAAATTTCACTAGATGCTAGTATCTTCAATGACCAAGGGTTGCAGCAATACATCTATCTTGACAGCTGAGAATCTGAGAAAGAGAAGATCACATATGTTAGAGTTGTATGTGCAATTGTGCCTAATGGAGGTAAATAGGGTAGTTCATGAGGGAGGAGGAGGTAGAAGGGCGATAGTTCGTTTCTATGAGCATTTGTTTACAGAGGAGCACGATTGTTACAAGCATAGCACGTGTAAACCTAACACTAGACTTCATACTAATGTTGCTTCAGATCTGGTCCATTCAGTCCAGAGTGAAAGACCTTAACGACTCACCCATAAAATGTGTTAAGGCTGAGGTATAAAGAATGAGCATGAACAAACACAATCAATTTGGGAAAGAACAAGGGAAAGTCCTACAACAAAACGTTATCAGTAGGAGGCGAGTTATTTCTGCAAAAGAGCAATTTCTTCAACGGCAGTGGAAAATACTGTTAAAGCTCCATTCCGGCTTAGAGCTAACAGAACCGAGAGAGTTTCACACTGTCGTCAACTGAGAGCTCATTCCTCCACCAAAATTATAAGGAAATAAGGAATAGTCAATGCAGAAAGCAATTGGGAAAAATATACAATGTGCTGGAAAAGAGCGTTAAGAGAAATAAGAGCGCCACTTAGAGAAAATCATAGGTGAGGAAATCATAATATTAATTTCATGCAGGCATACCATGCATCGGTCACAAACTCGAACTGGTTGTGCATCTTCATCTGAAGTCAAAGCAGTTCTACCTTGAGTGCATTTGTCACAGAAAATATCCCCACAATTTCTGCAGTGGTGCTGTCACAGTCACAAATTTATAGGAGTATGAGTAAAAAAAATCGAACAGGCAAATACAAGATGCAAATGTGGCATTTACACAACTAAAACTTATGATGCCCGGACTCTCCAAGAATGTCTCCAAGTGCATATCAGATCCTCCAAAAGTAGTGCATTTTTGGAGGATCTGAAACTGGTGCGGCATCATTTGGAGAGTCCACGCAACATAGACTAAAACTGTTACAATAAATGCTCACCCTTCGTACAAAAGCACCAAAGTCAGTCCCACAAGCAGTACACTTTCGAACTGCTTCATCAGGAACCTGCAAGAGAAAAAAAACGGGGCTAAAGAGAAAATAGACGAGTTGCCAATTTTAAATCCTTGCACAAGTTTCATTCAGCAGAAATAGAAGGAAATCCTGCAACTAAAGAGTAAAGAAATAAATAGCCGTTGAATTATATCTAACCCAGTGATCTTTCTCTTCGTTGAGGGGTCTCATCAACTTCATCCAATCAAAACCTTTCTTCTTCTCAGCAGCTGACTCAGATCCCTTGATTGAGTCTGAAGGCCTACTCTCGCCCATTTCCTTGACCTAAACACCATAATACCAGCCTGAGTACATGCTTATGACTAGTTTAGAAGAAATATCGAAACAATGAGCAAATGTACCAAATACGGTCGACAACAAAGAGAAGGATCATAGAAAACCAATTTCAGGAGCTCAAAATCATGATTATATCTAAATCCTAAGCCAACAAGATTAGAACACCAGCTAAAGCTATAACAGAAAAATTATTGAACCTTAAAACCTAATGTTGTCTATAGTGGTTGCTCGACTAGAAGAATATGAATCAATTATGAATCTTATAGAAATATCAGTAAGAAGGGCAATGGCTACCAGCCATATATACTTAATAATAACTGAATTCTTCTAATTAAAACCCTAGTTGTTCTTCGTCATGGATGAGAATTTATGGAGAAGCACCAAGAGGTGCAACTTGCAGTCTTGATTCTTCGATAGATTTCTGTACATCTACAAAGTAAAAAAGCCATTGCCGGCATTTATTATGTTCTGGAAGTTGAAATTAGATATTTTCATTGCAATTTGATTATTATAGTATTATATTCATATGTTTTTGTGATCAAGTAAATGAAGTTTCACTGATAATGCATCAAGAGGAAGTGAAGATTATTTAATTTCCCTAACTTGTACGCTCACACGCTTTTTTCTTCAAGCCCATGAACCTTGTTCGCTTTTTGCTGCTCCATTCTGCTTTCTTTGCTAAATGTATTCGAGCATTATCCTTTTACAAAATATGAAGTTGCACATGTTACTTTGTTGCTTCCTCCTACTCATGAACCACACACCAACCATCACTTGGCAAGTCTAAAATTGATACCAGATACAGAATCGAACAAATCAACCTACTTCCACAACTTCTTATTGGAATAGCCACTTCCCCAGTCTGAGTACTCTTGGAGTTTGTGCACATATGTCCGTGACCCTGTACAATACTTTCAATGTTTCAGCGTCTGCATGCCAGAAACTTAACCAACAAATCTGTTGATTTCTCCCAATTTCACTCCATACAAGCCTCTCGATTGTCAACCATTCTAATACTCTCCTGCACCCTCCCTCCAGGTGCGAAGCTATGTAGCCCTAAGGGTGGTCAACCCTTCGTCGAAAAATTACACTGTGTATATAGGTAAAATATTATATTTTAGTGGTATGTAACATATATTGAACACCCTTTATCGGGAATTTTTTTTACTTCATTCAAGTTTGAACACCCAAGATGAAATTCCTGGCTTCGTCACTGCCACCCTCACTTCCCTAAAATAGCCACAAAGTTCCGCATCAGTTCCCCAAGCCATTTAAAATTAGAGCCTTTCATCCTCAAAACTGTTTACCCAAGTGGCTTACTAGACTATGTCATCCCTGATATGTCAGAAGTCCAGCTCAACTGGTAGATAACAGCAAAACAGAAGCTTCTATTGAAAAAATCAAGAATAACTAAGCTTCAGACGACCGTCAATCATTTTAGGTATGAGCTTAGACACTTCTTTCAGAGTCATTCTTATAATTACCAGAGCATGAGAATCCTATTTTAGCCATGTAAAGTGGACTACATGCATCAAGATGGAGGAGCAATGCAGAAAGTAGAGACAATGTCAAATAAAAATATCCCACATTCTCTTTGAATCTAATATGATACCGAGTCAGAAAAAGAAAAGTAAAAGGGTGTAATCATGTATTGAAAGATATGACTTAAAAGAAAAGCATACACAGGGATGCTAACAAACTTTTACTAAATAGATCTCTAACCTGAATACTTGCTGCTGTCACTGCATCCAGGATATTGTTCGTGGTATAACTATTTGATTTCAGCCTGATACGTTTAGGTTCAACGTCAACAGAAGTTTTGGCCCAAAATGCAAATATATATGAATCCAAAACCTGACATTGAAAATATAAGAGATTAACTTAATTCAGAAGAAAGATGCTTAACAGAATCAATAAGCACAACACAACAAATTTACCTCCATTCTTGTCACGTTTTCAAGTGAATATATCCTCAGAGTTCGGCTAGTCGCAGGATCAAGTATGCGAATTCCATCTAGACCAATCTGAAACAAAATTCTTTCTCAATCAAAACTCATAACAACTAAACAAGTACTAATTTCCAAAAGGAACATAAATAAATTAACATAAACAAGCAGGCAAAGTGATTACTAACTACAAGACCCAAAGTCAGGCCCTTTTCTGATCCAAAGATTCATAAATATAAAAAATTCTACAGTATTCAAACCTGACAGAGCACATCCATGTCGGACTGACCAAAGCCTTCGGATAAAAGCTTCACACGAAACTTCAAAACACCACCTGATACATCATGTTGGTCCTCAATCTTAGGTGTTGCTTTCACAATTTTCGGAGTACTCGCAGGTCCCCGTTGCTCCCTCCCACTTGAAACATTGATAGGTCTTCCGTAATCATCAAACATCAGCCCCGCAGCACTTGATTGTGATTGATTTCCACCATACGACTCCTCTTTCTTCCCATTATACTTGTAAACACCACCATCATACAATCCCTGGTCCCCATACGAACCATAATTGGCTTTATTCTCAAATGAATTACCATAATTAGTATTATTCTCAAACGAATTGCCATAATTAGTCCCTGCGGAGGCCCCAAATGAGGTCGATGAATAAGGAGCTGACGAATTCAATGAATTGTAATTAGGAGGATTTGGTGTCTGATAATTAGCCTCTGGGGCAGAAAAATCATAACTCACAGGCGTTTGATTTTGATCGTAAGGGTAATAGTTCGGCTGTGGAGCGTCGAGGTGAGGGAAACCGTAGGACGATTGAGAGCTGGGGTTTGAAGGGTACGGAGCAGGTGGATTTGGGGTATGATCGGCAGAAGGCTGAGGATACGGCGGGTAGGAGGAGGCGTAGTTGGAGTAATCGCCGGAAGCAACCGGCGGAGCTGAGGCGAATTGGCCGGGGACGGTGGGCGGGGTATAGGGAGGATCGGCGGGAGTAGAGCTAGTGTTAGGGTTAGGGTTCTGAAAGTGAGGCTGGTAATATTGGTAATAGGGAGAGCTAACGTCGCCGTGTTGCATATCGGAGAATTTTAATGAATGATCGGAGAAGATAAGGATTTGAACGGTGATTGATCGATTGATTGGTTTTGAGAATAATATACGTATTTATTTAAGAAATAAGATGTTAATTATTGTAATTATTGAGTTGGGATGAAAGATTTGGGTGTGGAAGAATGTAGAAGGAAAGGAAAGTTCTTTGACAGTGAGGAAGGGAGGAATCGGGAAAAGGCTTGTTGACGGACGATGCCTTACCCGCCAAGGGAAGGTGGTATCTTCGATTTGGATACAACGTGGGCTCGGTGTACAATTGTTTGGTAGTTATTGGTGGAAAGGTGCAGGCCCACTAAGCTAAGGGCTTGGATGGACCTATTACCCGTCCAGCAAAGTAAATATTTACATTGGATGGTCTTTTTTTTAAGAAAATTTTTCATAAAGCACTATTTTTAGTGGTAATTAGCTATTTATAGATATCATTTGCTATATTACGGATTGTAGATACGTTTTCTGTTGTTATAAGATGTATTCGATGTATTTAAGCTATTGTATTCATGAATACAGTAGCAAAAATATGCGTGAATCAGGGAAGTCCAACTAATCAGTTGTTGTATTCGAGTGTATTCGACTGTATTCATGGAGTGAAACATGGGATTACAGCTGGACAAATTATTGTATTCGACTGTATTCACGGCGTGAAACAGGGGATTACACTGTTTTTAAACGGAAAGTGAATCAATTAACATAATAGACTCCTAATATAACTCAACAAACTCAATTATAACACACAAATTTTGTATTTCCAGTTATAAAAAAGATTCTCAACCGAAAAATACCCCAAAAACATGGCAATCTTCAGAGAAATTATATAATACGTTTGAATACATAAATTATATTAATTAAAAAAATATATGAATACATTAATGGAATATAGCGAGACAGTGAATACAATGAAATATATGGAATACAATCGAGATACACTGAAATACAATGAAAAAAAAGACAATGAATACAATGAAATACATGAAAATACAGCGAGATACATTGAAATACACTTTAAAAAAAAAGTAACAGAATCTTCAAGTTGCTCAGCCCCAAACTCCGTCGTCTTTGTTCAAGAACAACCCTAATGTCGTCTCGTCGAGAGGGCCGCGATTCTGATTCGAAACTCTCAAAAGCCGATGCAGAATTACAGAGGTCAGTGGATAGAAGACGACTCCTTTCCCAATCAAAAGGCACACATAAGCTAGCGAAAGGTAATGAATCTAAGGAAGAGAATAACCACCATAGTGAAGCATCGTCGAATTCTGTAGAATCAACTGGACTTGAATACCTGGAAAACATCCAATATTTGGTCGACTGCCTACTCTATCAAAACCAATCAATGTGGATAGATTACTTAGAGCCCATAACTGTAGAATAATACTGTAAAGAAAGAGACGTGGAAAAATAAAATATAGAATGAGAGAGAAAAATAATACAAAGAGTATTTTATGGCTTAAGGGTATGAGGTAACCATAAATAGATATTTGGCTATAAAAATAACAAGGTAGCTATGGAATATAATTTTTTAAAAGAATATTTATTTAAAATAAATAAGGTATCAACATTTGCTATAGGAGGTAAAAACTCCTTTTTTTAAAGGAAAAATCCCACTTTATACCCATTAAGCCCAAACTATTTATTCTTTAACACTAAAGCCTAAACTATTTATTTCTTTTTCTATCTATGCAGTCCAAACTATTTACCCGACCCACCCATTAGATTAGCTATTTGCCTTCTCATTTGAAGTACAGAATGTTAAAAATATTCGGGTTCATTTTTGCAAGCTTACCTGGTAGTGGACTTGAATGGATCTACTTCTTCTCTGCCAGATCGATCTTCATTAAGAGGGTCAATCCAAACTATTGTTTTATCTCATTTCCTTATGACTTCTTTGTGTGTATGAAGACCCACCATTGTTGAGCTTGAAGCTCCTGAATTTGAAATTTCATTTTTAAGATTTATTGTTTGATTCAATGTGGGTGCAATAAAATATTATAGTACATTCGAGTAAGCTTCCCAAAATCTGAATTCTTATGTATGTTTGAATATCCACCATTGTTGGCTTGAGGCTCAATTTTTATTTTTGAAGATTTCTAGTTTGATTCAAAAAGGGTGTTATTAAATATTGCTTATAGTACCTCTGGAAGTTCATACTGAAATTTGATCATATTTGAAGTTGATTTGAGGTGATTGAGATCAGAATCTTTCAGCTGAAAATCGAAGAAGAACACAGTTATCTAATAGTATACTGCTACGGTATACAATATATTGTAGGAGTATATAGCTATATTGCAACAATATACTATTATAGTATACAATATACTGCAACGGTACACTATAATAATCGAAGAAGAATGCAGTTACCTAACAGTATACCATTACGGTATACAATATACTAAAGGAGTATATAGCTATAATGCAACTGTATACTATTATAGTATATAATATACTGTAACGGTATATTATAATAATGTGCAATACACTGTAACAGTATGTTGTAATAGTATACAATATACCATAATATTATACTATTTTAATGTAATAATGTAATGTTGAATGAAGAACATAAAATATCATTTTCATATATTGTATGCTATTTTGGTATATAATATATAATTCAATAGTATATAGTTTACTACAATAATATATTGTTATAATATACAATATGATATTATAATTGGGTCATTTTTTTTTAAAATTTTTAACTGGATCCTTTTAAATATTTTAACAAAGTTCTCATGCTTGGTGTTGCCTTATAAAGGTCTTACAAAATTGAGGTTGCCCACATGGGGTCTTATGGCCTCGGGTTTTTGATAAGTCGGTGGGGTGGCAGTCGGCAACAGGCCCCGAGATATTTAATATTTTCTTGGCTCTGGAGCCGTTTTTGTAAACTTGATGTTGCCTCATTGAGGGCTTATGAGTTCTAAGCTTCCGACCCGGAGGTCGTAGGGCTTCGAATTTTTGACGCCACAATTTTTTTCTTATTATAAGAGGTGTTAGATGAAATTCCATGGAGATGCTATTTATTGTATTAGAAGTAGATGATGAAAATAATAATTATTTCTCTCTTCTCGATACTTAACTTTTATGAGCAACCTACGATTTCACCTCTTGTTGGCTTTCTCAGGTTCTCGCTTCCCCCCTCCTTATGTAATGTGTCAAGAATAAATTAATAGCACAATTTAATCTCACGGTTTAACAATAGCCTCTTATGACTTTCCATTTAACTTAATGAAAGCATAGCCATAATCACGACTCGCCTATCTCCTTTCACTAATAATATTAACCACAAAAGGTGCAATGGGTGGGAAGGGTAATTAGTTTGGTGGGTAGAAAAACTAATGGGTAGGTAAGGGTAATTAGTTTAGTTTTTGTGGGTAAGGCTATAAAACTCCCTTTTTTAAAGAGTAATTTTCAATCACTATTGTTTAGTGGCTAGTAACTTCTTATAGTTACCATATACTCCCTCCATTCCAATTATGTGAACTTGTTTGACTGGGCACGGAGTTTAAGAAAAAATGAAGACTTTTGGAATTTGTGATCCTAAACAAGTCAAAAAGGGGGCCAGAGTATTTGTGTGGTTATAAAAGCTTCTCATTAAGGGTAGAATTGTAAGTTTAAGCTAAATTTTTACCAAATTTAGAAAGGGGTCATTCTTTTTGAAATGGACCAAAAAGGAAATAGGTTCACATAAACTGGAACAGAGGGAGTATATAATTACTTCCTATAACTACTATTTAGTTGTTACACGATTGTATTCGCTGTATTCGTGCTACTATATTCATAAATACAGTAACGGGATTCGCCTAAAAAATAGGGGAGTCCAGCTGTGCGACTGTATTTGTTGTATTTGCGATACTGTATTCATGAATACAGTAGCAGAATTTTCCTATAAAAATATGAGAATCCAGTTGTTTAATAACGAAAAGAGGATCAATTAGCATGTATCACTCCTAATTTAACTCAACAAAATCAGTTCTATATAAATTTCGTTGCTACTGTGTTGTATTCCATGTATTCGAGCGACTGTATTTATAAATACATGTAACGACCCGACCCGTCGTATCAGGTATTACCGCCCCGTTTTCCTCATTTATTGCTTCTTCATGTTTCATTATCAGCAACGAGTGAGTTAGAGTTGAATTGAATTGGTTTGGATAGGAAATGAGACACTTAGTCTCTTTAAGGAAGGCTTAAATTGGAAAAGTCAACCGGATGTTGACTTATGAGTTCGAAGGTTCGGATGTGATTTCCGATGATCCGGTTAGCTTCGAGAGATGATTTGTGACTTGGGAGCGTGATCTGAATGGGTTTTGGAGGTCCTGTGTAGAATTAGGCTTGAATTGGCGGAGTTAGCATTTTGGCGAATTCCGGTTGATAGGTGAGATTTTGATCCGAGGGTCGGAATGGAATTCCGAGAGTTGTTGTAGCTTCGTTAAGTGATTTTGGATATGTGTGCAAATTTTCAGGTCATTCGGACATCGTTTGGTCGGATTTTTGATCGAAAGCGCATTTCGGAAGTTCTTGAAGAACTTAGGCTTGAATCCGATGTGAATTGATGATCTTAGCGTTGTTCGATGTGCTTCGATGATTGGAACAAGTTTGAATGATGTTACGGGATATGTTGGTGTTTTTGGTTGAGGTCCTAGGGGCCTCGGGGTGATTTCGGATGGCTATCGGGATGAAATTCAAGTTGAGAAAATGACAGATTTTGCTAGTATCTGGTATGTTCGCTTCTGCGGAAATGGACCGCATAAGCGGTTCCGCAGAAGCGTAATCTTGGTCGCAAAAGCGGTCTGGAGTGGAGTTGGGCAGTTCCGCAGAAGTGGAACACTTTTTGCTTAAGCGAGTCCGCAGAAGCGGAAATTTGTGTCGCAGAAGCGGCCCTTGAGTTTTAATGCAATTCCGCATAAGCGGACAAAAACCGCAGAAGCGGTTGCGCGGAAGCGGGCGTGGGGACCGCAGAAGCGGAAACCCCTGAAGCCAGTAGGAGTTTTATATTCATTTTGTTCCGCGAGGATTATGTTATTTCCACCATTTTTCAGCGAGCTTGGGAGCTATTGGACGGAATTGAAGGGGGATTTCGACTAGGTGTGATTGGAGGTAAGTCCCTTGGCCTAAATACATGGAACTTTGATAGATTTAACATGGAAATTGGTTGAAATTCTTCAAAAAGGGGTAAAGCTAGGGCTTGAGTTTTTGATATTTTAAATTGGGATTTGATAGGTCATTTGAGCTCGGA